TGTGAGTGTGTGAGTGAGAGTGTGTGTGTGTGTGAGTGTGTGTGTGTGTGTATGTGTGTGAGTGCCGCATGAGGCCTAGCGCATGTGTGTCATTCCCGGATCCGCCAGCAGAGCGCGCTACTGCCCAGCGTTCATCCGCGGCGCTGGAAACTTTCAAGCCCCTGTTCAACAATGAAACCAAAAAGAAATGCACGCAATAGTGTCACATATTGCAACATTTTGTCAGCGCATCGGGTGTTTTGATTCATTTTAACATGCTTTCGCATGAAACGCCTCGGTCAGAGAGTTGAATAACTGTCGCATATCCGGACGTTAAACGATTTTTGCAGCTGTTGTTGGTATTTATAGGTATTTGTTATGTTATATAATTAGCCAAAGTTCATTTTCCCAACTAAAAATGTGAAATCTCCGTGCAAATGCTTTACTTTTCTATGTGAAGTGCAATATTTCGGCATCTATTTGAATTAGTTTTTTAAAAGAATGATTTAGTGATTAAATTAAACGACGACGATGATGATGATACAAATGAAATGCATGTTAATTTTCCACCTTGAGTTTTACAGCGCCGGGTGTTCCTGTTAAACGCGTTTATTTCCAGGTTTGCGTGCAGATCTATTGTATGAAATAGTTTCCACTGAATGAGGAGCAATGATTCAGCTCGACGGCGACAGTGCAGTATTATTATCTCGCCCTAAACATCGACGACATATTTCGGACGGCACAGTATCACATATTAAAACACTTTTCTTTAATGTGTTTTAAAGGCAGTTTCTCAAAATGGCGGAGCAGGAATTATATTCACTATATAACTGAAAGACACAGGCCTGGCGAATCGCGGCAGTATTGCTGATCAATGACATTTAAAGTGCAGGATTGAGCCGACCGCGCGAGACGGGTTCTGTTTGGCACGAGCGGTTCCTGCCGTCTCCGGCACTGCTGCTCTGCATTATTCCACACACACAGAGAAAGCTATGCTTTATTCCTGCCATCAGCCGCACATGCACACTTTGCTCCTGTCTATCGACTGCGTCTGTTCTGAGTGTCATGCATTCGCGTTATTCTTGATTGCATACTCTCTTCCTGCTGCTCGTATTATTGATGACACGTCCAGGCGTTTTCTACTTTAAATCTAACTTTCATTCTTATTCCTAAGCATTACACCGCCCGCGAAAGTCTGAGACGGCGCATAAAGGTTCATTACGGAGTATAAAATGCAAGACGAGCAGTTTATTCTAGCGTGCGATTGTTTTAATTTGTCTGTTTCTTACCCAAATTCTCCCACGAGTACTGAGAAATTGGCCAGGCGGCTCCAGTGCGCATGCGCAGTTCACGCAGTTCACACTCGCCCATCATCATGACAATACCGAAAGTTTTGCGCTGAAACAACTGCGACGGCCCCACCGACCCAGCAGCCTCCTCCGACACCCGGGGTCCGCTGGCGTGCAACATCGCCATTTGCGGTTTTGCTACTAAAAACGAGTTCCTGCGTGCGACCCAGCCTTCCCAAATGTATAGAAACGTCTCAGTGAACACATCGCTCAAACTCTTGAGGTTTCATTGCCCAGAGATGGAGAAATGAGGCTAACTCCAGTGCTCTAGTCTCAGATCTCTATGAACTACTGATCCTCAACTACTGAACAACACTAAACTGTGCTGCATAGAGCAACCAAATAGCCCATACTAAACTAGACTGAGCTACACTGTACTGTACAGAACAACATTAAGTAGGTTGTGTTAAACTACACCAAAAGAAATACTATTACGCTGTTTAGAGCGACACTAGATAGGCCTACTAATAAACTCAAATATGCTGAATTCTAGGTTACTAAGTATGAGTGCGTTTCTGCAAACCTTCATCTCTTGAAAGTGTGTTTAACGCGCTTCGCTTGTGTGAATGAATGCACATAAATACCTCACTTTTATTTCCTGACAATAACACCGGCTCACACTCAGTGTCGGGGTAACGCATTACAAGTAACGCGAGTTACGTAATCAGATTACTTTTTTCAAGTAACTAGTAAAGTAGCGCATTACTTTTTAATTTACAAGAAAATATCTGAGTTACTTTTTCAAAGAAGTAACGCAAGTTACTTTGTTTCTCCAATGTATTGAGTGACAGCTCTGGTGTCGCCATGGTGACAGAAATCAGATGTTACTGTAGCTCTAAAATAAATATGAATATGCATTAATTCATCTCACTCACAAACAAACACAGATTCAGTATTCCTCAAAATGAATACAAATAATGCAACTCAGAATATGACGCAAACCTGCAATAATTAAATGTTGAACAACACAAATATGCTTTATGTATTTAATCCCATTCTATTAGCTTCTGAGCTTCGATGATCCGGTTCAAGCGTACTAATAATCACACATTACTCTCGACAACATCTGTGTGTGTTTGTTTATTGCTGAAGTGTTGAAATGTCTTCTTCTGCGTTCTACTGTAGTTTCCCTTCAGCCTGAGGCGCATTCATTTCACTTCTGATGAGAAAGGCTTTTATATTTGCCCAAAATATAACTTTTTTATATTAAAAACAAACAAGCAAGCCCTGTCCAGATTTCAAAAGTAACGTAACGCATTACTTTCCATAAAAAGTAACTAAGTACCGTAATTAGTTACTCTTTTATGGACTAACGAAATATTGTGATGCATTACTTTTAAAAGTAACTTTCCCCAAACACTGCTCACAACACATAAATGATGCTGATGAAGTAGCTATGGATAAAACACTAAATGACGAACAATGATCAAATAAACTAGCTATAGGTTTAGCAGAGCTGGGTTTATTTATCTAGTATGTCATTTGTGCCAGTTAGGACTGCTATTTATTAGTGCACTCCTCCTAGGCTTTAACACCGCATCTAATCAAACTATAACTCTAGTTATTTGCCAGGTCATGGATAGACTAATAGACTAGAGATGTAAATATATTTGCTGCTTTATTCAAATGAGTGTGATCACATGTAACCAGTGCAGTCAGGAGTTGCATGCCTGCAGTAGCTGCTTTTGGTTTTAGTTTTAATTTGGATACTTACGATGGCTCAGTGTCACGCTAACGTAAAGAATTTATGTTGCAAAGTGAGTTCAAAGGCCAAAGAGATGAATTTTCAAGGCAGAGGGGAGGTTTTAATTACAGCCCTTGTGGCACTATATACATTTCTGCAATTCCATGTTGCCTTGTTTCAGGTTTAACGCTGTCCTGTCTGCAGTTAGCTTCTGTTAAATGTCTTATGCTGGTCTTGTAGGATCATAGGAGATCACTATTATCACTGACATCTGAAGCCAGTCAACTAATCTTTTAATGTGTCTTAATCAATGTTTAAGCAACTGTTCTTTTTCTTACCCTTTGCTCTTAAAGGAATAGTTCACCCAAAAAAATAAAAAATTAAATAAAAGTTGTTGCAGTACTCACTTAACATCTTATGACGCCAAAAGCTACGTGTTTGTAAGAAACAAATCCATCATATTAGTATAGAGCTGTTTTGGCTTGTAAACGCTGCTTGATTTGTGCAGATTTCTCTCCTGATTCAGACCAGAACACTTTTTCTCCGGAGGAAGCGTTATTATGGATTATGGACTCTATGGATATTTTAACTGGATGCAACAGTTTGAAAAAAACATCTTAATGATTGATTTGGTTCTTCTCCAGATGTTCACTGATGGACCGGAGTGCTGTGGATTATTGTGATGTTTTTATCAGCTGTTTGGACTCTCATTCTGACGGCACCCATTCACTGCAGAGCATCCATTGCTGAGACACTGATGCAGTGCTGCATTTCTCCAAACCTGATGAAGAAACAAACTCATCCTGATCTCGGATGGCCTGAGGGTGAGCACATTTTCAGCAAATTTCCATTTTTTGGTGAACTGCTTTTTTAATTTTTTATCACAAGTAAGTGAGTGGAGTGAATGGAAAGTAGCTACGTTTGGTAAAATTGCTTTGAGTGGATGTTGCCATTTTTTGCCACAAGAATTTCCAGTAGCACTTTAGTACAGGGACCAATTCTCACTATTATCTAGTTGCTTATTAGCATGCCTATTATTAACATATTTGCTGTTTATTAATACTTATAAGGCACACATTTTGCATGACCATAATCTATATCTCTAATCCTACCCAATACCTAAACTTAGCAACTACCTTACTAACTATCAATAAGCAAATTAGGAGTTTACTTTCAGCAAATTTCCATTTTTTGGTGAACTGCTTTTTTAATTTTTTATCACAAGTAAGTGAGTGGAGTGAATGGAAAGTAGCTACGTTTGGTAAAATTGCTTTGAGTGGATGTTGCCATTTTTTGCCACAAGAATTTCCAGTAGCACTTTAGTACAGGGACCAATTCTCACTATTATCTAGTTGCTTATTAGCATGCCTATTATTAACATATTTGCTGTTTATTAATACTTATAAGGCACACATTTTGCATGACCATAATCTATATCTCTAATCCTACCCAATACCTAAACTTAGCAACTACCTTACTAACTATCAATAAGCAAATTAGGAGTTTACTGAGGCAAAAGCCGTAGTTAATGGTTTGTTAATAGCGAGAATTGGACCTTAAAATAAAGTGTGACCGAATTTCCTTTAATTAAACAAAGAATTCTTTCAATTTCAACACAAGCACGTTCATTTTACTGATTCAAAAGTTGCTTCCTAACAGGAATGACCCAGATTTTGTTTTAAACAAGTAGGCCCAAATAGTTTTACCCATGCTTTGCAATTGAAGCACAGTGTTGATCTGAAACCTGCACCATTTCTGAAATGTGCTCATAAGTTAGCAGTGCTGTAGAACAGAAACAAATCGATGTCCTTACAGCCAACTGTGCTAGCGGGAGGCTAATGTGAGGTATTCTAGCACAGCCTTACTTAACGAGGAGTATTTTTAGTGTGTGTGGGTAATTAGTTAGTGCAGCCCGGGCCTGGAGGTGGGCTTTATCCTGCCCAGATTTACGGAAGCGCTGCTAATCTTATTAAGAGCAGCCATGACAGATGCGCAGACTCAGTCTTATGCTACCTGCGAGAGCGCCCATCAAAGAATCGCTGGCCATTCGTGTTGTTGGACTACTGCTGGCGGTGCTGTGGGACCACGGCCAACAACTGCCCCTCAACAGCAAGCTCCATGACACCTGGGTAAAGTCTGATTATTCCCCTCCTGAGGGGTCTACTGTGTCCCTGCAGCATAGTTCATTTATAACAGCAGCCATGTTTCTATAGGCCTTACTTTCAGACAACTCTCAATGTAAATCTGAAGATTTTCTGCAGAGATTTCTATTGTAAAAGAGTGACCATGTACAGGAATAGTTCAGGCCTCTACAACAATAGAGCATGTTAAATTAATAATACTATCAACACTAGAACAAACTGATGTATAGATGTTCTAAAGAATATGGCTGGTGTTATACAGCTCAGCAGAGAAGTTAGATTAGTAACATAACTCGGGATGCTTTGAAAACTATTGGTTGTGATCTTCCCACTATTGAAGAGATCTATGTCTGACGTTTGCAGAAAAAACTATCCTGTCTAACAATCCTGAAAGATCCCTTACATCCAGCCAGACAACTCTTTACGCCTCTTGCTTCAGGCAGACGCCTTATAACTAAGTCTACACGTTTTCTGAACAGCACTTATTGTGGGATTGCGCATGCTCTTAATTCCTCTGGTATCTGTGCATCTGCATTTCACTCCTTATAATAGATAGGACATGTATGTATAGTTGTATGTATTTTAATGTATGTCATTATTGTTGATGAACTCAACGAACTAGGTTGTTTGGCAATAAATAAGTAAATGTACAGATATTTCCCGAAAGCACTGAGTGTGGTTGTGTTTGCCGTCAGGCTGTTCTTCAGAACCTGTTGATGTGTATGCTGTGCTTCTTCTCTCTCTACTATATTGTGGTCAGTCTCTGCATCTCAGGCGTTTTCAGGTGAGATTTTCCACATTGAGCAGCATAACTTCCTCTCTCTCTCTCTCTCTCTGTCTCTCTCTCTCTCTCTCTCTCTCTCTCTCTC